AAGATAACCTCTAACCAGCTAAGAAATGTGAAAGATCTAGAAAAACAGAACAATGTAGGCCATGCAATAATCTCATTCCTTCATAGGTATTACCTTCTTCTGGAGGCTAAAATCCTTTAGGAAGCTGGTGGCCACAGGACTTCTTTGAGTATCTAGATACCTGCCTCATTCTCTTTTGGTATCTACATAGTAAGTGGCATTGCAGGGCTTGCTCCATCTTGATATGTGCTCTCTAAACACTAGGAAGATAGAGATCACAGCTCTCCAAGCTTGGAAGAGATCAATCCACAGTCATTTCAGTGATGCTAGGATGACTAGAGACAATTCAAATGATTCCCATATGAGAGGCCTGGAGCTTCTAGAAGGACAACAATAGGGTCAAGAAGAGGAAACACTGGGGGCAAATACATTTTGGCTGGGTGTGAGAACCCCTACTATGTGTGATTTATTGTTTTTTCTTCTGGAGTCCAACTTTGCAAATTCAGTTTGGCTAAACAGGATCAGATTGCTTTCCACTTGAACGGTTTTATAATAAGAAACTCATTTGTAGCTTCCATGAATTTTTGGATTGACCAAAATAATTTCATTACTATTGAAACTACTAAAATAGGATTGACTGTTTTTGCTGCCTGGTTTTTTGTTTTTTGTTTTTTTTTTTTTTTTAAAAAAAAAAAAACAATAATAAGAGAAACTGTCACTGAAGACTGGAAATTCCCACAGATGAGAAATTGAAAAACAGAGCAAAATCTTTTCAATGTCATGCCTTGTACGAAAGTATTTAACAGGCTCAAGTTTCTTGTGCATTTTTCTAAATATTGCAGTTGTTTTGTGAAGACCACTGTGAGCACAGCTGTGCCAAACCAACAGTTGAGACCATTGTTGGTATTTTGGCAAAACTGTCTTACAAAAAAGCATGAAAGCCAGCTGGTTTGAAACTGACGATTCAAACTTTAAAGCATTGAGGAATTGAGTATATACAATAAAAAAGGATTTTTTCCTGCCATATATGCCCATTTCAATAACAGCCTTTGGAGACCACTCTCAGCACAGAATATATCCAGGCTGCAGGACAGATACACTTCACGAGGAAGGGATTGCCAGCCAGTGGATATTGAAGACCCATGCCAAGGCTAGAATGTAACTGAGAATATGAAACTGAGGTGTGTGATATGCAGTTTCTTCCCTTTCTAGAAGCATGCTATCAGATGCGTCAGTGATGACTGAAAATATTTGCCCCCACTGCACTGGTTGGTTGAAGTGATCCTTCAAGGAGTTACTTCTACCATACCTCAGCTGCTAGAATGAAACATGTAAGCACAGTACATCTGCTTCAGTGCCCCATCCACCAAGGTGATTTTGTGACAACAGTGAAACAGATGTCACATACGTAGAGCCATGGGTTACAGTACTGCTGACAGATTTCACAGTCTTCTTTATCACAGAACATAAAAGTCACCAACTAGACTTAATAAAAGCCAGTCCTCATAAGCAAAGGAATGATGCCAATATTTAAAGAGTTAAGAAATAGATGTATTTTAAATGGTAGAGACCAAGAAGAAATTACATTTTACGCTGAAGGAAACTGATACTCTACTATGAGGTTTGATCTGATGAGGAACTACAGCTCCTTCTTGCAAGCTGGCAGAACACTGAACACAAGGAATGCCATACACAGGTAGCTTTAACTAAGCTATCTTTTCCTAGCTGTAAGGCATCACTCAGCACACAAAACACAGAAAACACATTGGTTACCTCCCCATTTGCAGAGAGATATGTAGTAATTCAGACTCACCCAATTTGCAAGACAACAGAAAAAAATAAGCATTAACTGAATGTGTGTTTATGACCACCTTACTATGTCTTGCCTATTGGCTGCTTTCACTTGTAGAACCAGTTCAGTGTCAACTTGAGCATCCTGCCTACATACAAACTTAAATCTGGAGCTAACAAGTTCATTAATCATAGTCTGTAAACAAAATAGAGCGCACAGCACAGTTGTGAAAGGGTGTTAGGCAATTAGCAAATGAAAGTAGTCACATACCTACTGCTTTAGTTTCTACTCATGAAATTAAATTATGCAATGCATTTTTAGAGCTGATGCAACATCATCTTACAACTTTTAAAACTGGTTGTATCATAGAGGCCAAGCGTTATGTTACTTAAAATTATAGCAGTTCATGACATATTAAATTGTTCTCTGGCCCTTGGGATCTGATGAAGCTGATTGCATCAATAGCATTAGCAATGGATCATATACATGCAAAGGTTCAGACTGCTGCAGCATTGCTAAAAAATTCAGTTTTCACCATCACAAGTCTTCTTACTCGGTATTGCATGTTTTCTGCCTACAGAAATATCCACAAACGTTATTGTGTTTAAGATACCACTGATGGCTGCTGAAATTCAGAGACCAGGTTGCTAATAGTAAAAAAAAAAAAAAAAAAAAAGCACACTTTATGAAGCATGCAAGTTCACTCACTGCAGCTATACTTAGTTACATCCATCAGAACAGATTTAGCATGCATAGAGAAAGGAGTAGAAATTAAGAAAGAAGGAATATCTGATCTCTGTCAGACAGGTGCATAACAGAGACAGATGTGGGGTCTTCATCCAGTATTAATTTTGAAAGCTTTTCAGTTTGTTTATGGGTTCTTGGAGGCTGATCACTTCAACAAGAGATTCAGGGAACCTGAAGTTTTGCTGAGTAAGGAGAAAGCCCAGGAAAACTGAGTTGACTGATCACAGTAGTTACCCCTCTGCAGCCTATTCCTTCTTTCACTATGCTATTACACACTGAAACTCACTAGAAAGACAAGGAAATCCATATACAACATCCAATGCAGGTTATTATCTAATAAGAACACATCAAGGTCTGCATTTTATTTCCCTCCCCCCAATGCAACTGCAGTCTACATGGCTAGTACTACTCAATACAAGCAAAGCATAATCATATTTAAAATTTTCCCTTTGATCACCCGTGCATGTTTTTTACATGAGGAAAGTTCAGCCTGGGTTTGGTTGGTGGTTTTAAGATAGACAGAAAATTACCCTGCAAAATTCCTGGCAAGTTCACACAGAGCCAAGCCAATACTTGCTAAAATTAGATTTATTATAAGGTATGGTTACTTCATTTATTCTCCTCTGGGTTTTGGACAGTAGAACTGATATGCCAAATCTCACCTTTCACAATAAGGAGCATTTTTGTAGATGTATCCAGGAATTTCAGTTCTGAAAATAGACTTTAGCTGCAGATATATTAGCATGAATCTGAGCCTAAGGACTATCCTAGATATTCCACCCACTCCACATTCACAGTACAGTTCCCTCAGTTATCCCTCCCCTGGCCTAGAAACAGTCAGGGTGAATATTACCCGAGAAAAGCTCAGCTATCACTTTTATTCCATGAGATTTCTCACTTCCCTCATGCTTCTCTATAGCACTTTGATACAAGCATAGCAAAGAAAACTACTGGCTTTCTGCAAAGAGCAATGAATGACTTGTTCATTTGTACAGAAATGTCCATCAATGGAAAAGTAATAGCCACCTGCTATACTGAGATTACCAAAGAGCCTTCACAGGACAGGACATAAGAAAACTATGTGCCAACGTCCATGAGATACCTATGAAGAGCACAGAAGGCTTCTTAACAACATGACCTCTGACAGCATTGCCTAAATGTTTTCTCCAAATAAGAAATCCTGCCAGTAGCACCCAATGCTTGGTAACATGTGAAGGGAGGCTTCCAGAAGCAAAGATGCAGTAGTAGAGGCTTCCACAAAAGGTAAGCAGTACAGAACACAAAGCCACATTATTTTCCAACAGCAATGAGCCAAGACAACATAGGTAGTAGACCTTATCCTTGACATGGTCCCCTGCTCTCCTTATACAAACGAAGGCTAAAGAAAGCAAAATATCTTAGTTATAGTTATATCTTTATAACTAGCTCTCAAACAAAAGCGGAATTTCAAACAAATTACTGCAAGGTTTTTACTCTTTGTAGCACTGAGAAACACACCTGTCTGTCTCAGAAGCTGAGTACCCTCATCTGCTTTTTTGGCTAATCATTGTTAACTAATTGCAGAATATTATAAGCAGACAAATTCTCCTCTTGTTTGTGACAGGATTAGCACTCTGTCCCCTTCAAAAATAGTCTAGTAACTTTCTTAACCGAAAGTAGTTGTACCCTAAGGGTTTTGATTTTTTCTTTCTTCAAGTGGCAGTGCTAACTGCGATTGAAAATCCTGACCTTGGCTATAGATTAGATCAACTTACTCCTTTCTTAGAAATTGACACAGCTACTTCAGTACAGTAGTTCCTCAACTACTAACAAAAACAAAAACAAAAAAAAAAAAAACAAAAAAACAGATTATTTGAAAGCACTTAGTCCAACATTAGTAAGAAACTGATGGAATGTGTTTGCCAAAAGAGATTTACCAAACATCAAATTTGCACAGAAAAAGAAATGCATAAATACAAGATACAACAGTAAGACACTTTGCCTGAGAAGTAACTGTATTGTAAAGCAGCTAATGGAGACAAACTGGAATGCAATTGTAACATGCAGCTGACATATTCAGATACCTTTCAAACCAGGTAAATATCTCCTCTGCAGCCTAATGATACAGAAAGATATAATAGCATGGGGAAAAGAAGCACCAAGAAAACCCCCAAACCAATGCTGTGATCATATTCTGTCTAAGCTTTTGACTAATTTACTTAATCTGGAGTGAGAACCCATTTTGACTTTGTGGTGTAGACATGCTAGAGAAAAACGCTCGTTCATTTACTGTAGAATTGATCAGAAAAACAAAAAGCAAAGCTTAATGGAAGGCATCTGCCACAACATTCATCGATTTAAACAAAAATATAGCAATCAAATATCAGATAGTAGAAGACAGCTCCCAATACAGTGCTGTGAATTATATGCTAATCCATTTTATGAACTGTAGTGCTTTCAGAAACATGAGTCCTTTCTCTTCTCTACATCACACCTGAATCTAATCAGGTCAACATCAAGCAGCAACATTCAAAGCAGTCAAGAGCAGAATAGAATTTAGCTTGCCAGTTGTTCTACACACAAAGAAGCAAAACTGCTTCAGACAGGTTCTCAGTGATGCCAGGCAAAGTATCTGCATGTAGGCTAGTAGTCTTGTACAGAAAGAATGGAACTCACCCAACTGGAGAAGGCGCTCTCTGGCTCTGCAGCACTCCTCAGGAAGCAGCCTAGGTGCAAGAGATACTCTCTCTTCGGTGGCTGGCACTCATATGAGCCCAGGGTGACTCCAACCTGGATCTTCTGATCCCTGAGAGCACAGGTGCAAACAATTTGCCTGTGCTCCCTCATCCAGCCACACCCCTTCCCCAGGTGCTCAATCACCAGCCCTGAACAAACTGTTCCCCTACACAACTACCCCCAGCTGTTCAATAACAGAGAGCAAGCCATCACTAACACTGCATATTTTGGCAACAATACCAAAATATCAAAGAATAAACATTTACTACACAGCATCAACCTCCCTTTAGACACACAAGAAGTTGTAGACATGAAAATGATATTTGGCTTTTTTGAATCACTGGCATATTTTGCAGAACCATCTTGTACTAACAGAAAAAATAGCCTGTGCCCCACAAAAAAGATGGCCTGAAAACGGTAAGGTAAAATAAACAGGGAATTTACCACTCCTTTGCAAGAGGACCTGGATGGCCCTTGCCTCATACTTCACTCATTGCTTGAGTTGGGCAGCACCTATTCCAAAAGGTCTCATCCTAAATGCACTAAACAACTGTGTACAGCTTTCTCAAAATCTGTTTCAAGTTTCCCATGTCAGACTGATAGAGTTATTTTAAGGAGATGCTGTTGGAGTCTGCTCAGCCCCAGGCTCTTCCCTACAGAGAGGGCTTTCCAGCACAAAGGAAACCAGCAGAAACGCCATCCTTGCATATCTGATTCTAAGTGACTTTTTTTTTTTTTTTTTTTGAGATCTGGTCATAATTGGCACTAAATGCCTTGCGCAGAGCAAACATGAGAGGGACAAACACTGTTTTGTCTTTCTATCACAGGTAATTACTTATCTTAGCAAGAATCTTCTACTAGACATAGTACTTGAATTTATTATAGTAGCCAATGCACTTTCACTATGAAAAACAATACCTTTTACCAGGTAACTGTGTGGAAAGTTACCTATGTTTAAAAAGGGAAACAGGCTACAAGTGTATAATCAATGAATATTAAGATGGTATAATTATGAAATAAACAAGAGAGTTTGGCAAAGCAGATTATGATAGCAAAAAGAGAATGGATGGAAAACTTACCTATATCCTTGGCTCATTTACAAAACTCCAGTAGAGCAGATCTCCAGAAGAGATCCTTCCCCACTGGTAGCCAGCTCTTAAATAGGTCTAGGATTGCCTTCACCTGTGCTCCTCTGGCTGACTCATGGCTCGCCTCAGGTGATCAATCAGAGGGTTCAGGCCATGACTCAACAGTTCCCATACAATAAGTGACTTGACTACAGTGGCATAAGAAGTCCTCGGGGTGATCAAGTCCTGGGTCCTAACATAACACTTTAAACCTCAGAGAGGCTCTTCCCTTTGTATGCTCTAATAATTCCACATGCCCAAGTATGTCCTGCCGATTTTAATCGGCTACTATTGATGTCACAATTCAAGAAAGGGAGCTTTCTAGTTTAGTTCCTCTTTTTTATTGTGCTGAGTTCAGTTGATTAGAATTAATTTTTTTCGCCTTAACTTTTATGTCAAATACACATGATGGCCAACTCCTGGAATAAGGGCATTTCTATCTGCCTATCCCTCTCCCTCTCACCTCTTTCCTCTCAAGTATTTATAGGGCATCAATCACAGCAGTATCTAGGCACAAACTGTCACCTGACTAATGGCCCGTGGCTTTCAGATACCACAGCAACATAAAGACATCAGAACACACCTCTGTCACTGCAGCAATGCAGAGTATTTAGCACATGGCAGCCATGCCAGTAAAGGATGCTGCTTTCCACATAAGGTCAAGACAAGCTACATCAGACCTCCCAAGCCTGCATCTTAGAGATTCAACATGGGAGTTAAAACCATTTCTCTACAGAGTAGAAATAAGTAAATTATTCACAGCCTAAGTGGTTTTCCTGCAGCGAAGAAAACACACCCAGGCCAATCAAGAGTGCTAACAGCAGTGAGAACCAGCTCAGTAAAAGCACACACAGCAGATACTAGGAGCTTAGATTACAGCCTCTGCATTTAATTGAGCTGCGCATTCTCCTCCCACCAAGCAAGGGTGCAGCCAGGCCACAGGTGTGACTCAGGAGAGCAAGCTATCTTCTGCACAGGCTGATCTGTTCAACAATGCACAAGACAGAGCTACACCAGTAAGCCACCCCACACCTTTCACTGCCTTCCTATTAAAGAATGGAAGGAGTATGAATGGCTCTGAACTGAATCAAGACATTTACATCTCTATTCCCATCTCCCACTCTTATTGTATGTAACAGTAGGATTCTAACCACTCCTCTAAATAAATAAAACATAGACATTCCTTACAAAACGGATAGAAAACTATTTCAGACTTCAGCTGGAAACAGGCATGTGCACTGAAATACTCAAGCATGGTAATCACAGTATCAGTATTCTCATCTGCATTACAAGCTGATCTTGCATTCGTTAGACTAAATCTCATGCTTAGCCTGTGAGTTTATGCAGTTCTCCAATATATTCAATTTCTCTTGATCCATCTGTCAGCATGTTTCAGCTATTTAGAAAGTATGGATGGCTATACAAGGATCTGAACAAAGAGGTTGGATTTCTTCATCCTCATGGGGAATCAGATTAAAAATCCCACTCCATGCCTTTTTTCACTCGTCTTGGTGTGAGTATGCACCATATGAAGTACAAGTGTTAGCAACTTTGCGTGTACCTTCTGCTTTTTACTAAGTTGTTTGTCCTAGTGACTTCAGTATAGCATCCAGTTTGAGTTGCAAGAAGTGTAACACCTTACCCTTTGTGACACATACTCCTTTCCAGCTATGATTATCATGGAAAGATCAATTTATTAATGCCATCAGTCTCCCCGTTGTTTCACCATCAGATTTTTTTTTTTTATTTGAAGTTATAGGATAGTTGTGCTTTATGAGCCTTGTTATGATTTTGTCAGATTTAGGATGCATGTTGGACAACCATTTCTTCCCACACAAACCAGCTTAGAAGTTGTATGAATTACAGGCAGCAACAGCATCTTCCTGTCCCCTCTTTCCCTCCCTTTTGCAACCATTTTAGTGCAAAGCCATGACCTTTCACAGAGCTGTGGCTTTTCTTTGAGAGGCTCAGATACCACTGCGCAGGAGGCAGGGTATCAGCCAGCTTTGCTATCACCTCTACACTTGCATACATCTGCAGGTTTCCTACTTAGAGAACCATTTCCTGAGGAAACAATTGCAGCTTTCTAAAGACAATGTACAGGCACAAAAATTTTTCTATGTTCAGATGCTCACCAGAAACTTGACAATTCACCTCTACTACTACTCACCCTGCAGGTAAATGTCGCATTGCTTAGCCTTTTGTGAGGAAACAGAGGTGGGGAGAGAGAAGCAAGGAACACAGCTTGGAAGAAGCTGGTCAGCAACACTACAGCTTGAATTCAGAGGCTGATCTGCTTGGTGAGGCTATCTACTTTGAACTTTTATGAGGTGTAACCTATGCTGCCTGTAATGGAAGAGAAACTACTAATTTTGCTTTCCCCTCCTCTCAAGGATTCAGCCCACCCTGCAGCAGGATAGTGGACTGCCTACATAGTTTTGCATGAGGAAAGAGACTCACTGCTCTCTAGGAGCTACCCTTGCACTTCAACAGTTCTCCTTGCTTCTCCCACACCCCTAGACCTTGTAGCACCTCCAGAGCACAGGAACAGTTAGTCATTTATGACAGCAAGACCCATACAGGATCACTATGCTGCTATTTGGGCACAGAAAGCTACCTCTCCACATCACCACTGCATAACGTCACACCTTACAGGCATATCAGCACTTACAAAAGATAGCCTTGTGTATGTAGTTTTACAAGTGAGATGCTTTAGAGCCAACTGATAAAATTTCTTTCCATAACTGCACTCCAGGAATTCTGTATCTATCCATCTTCCTTATCAAACTCATTTCACCCAGACTCATCAGTTAGGACCCTGTATAAAAAACAGAGATTTGAACACCAAAAGCAGCTGAAAACAGCTTTCAGTCAAAAAACTGAAGTCACAGCTTTAACTGTGAAAGGGCTACAGAGCATGCTTCAATAGGTTCTACATCTATAAAAATAATCTTGTTCTACACAAATAAACATGGAGCTATTTTCAAAGTATATTGGAAATACAATAAGGGACAAAGTTTTTATCTTACTTTTATAATTTAAGATGCTTCAACTCCCTAAAAGAGACTTCAATTACCATTTGTGAAATACTTCACACAATTAATTCAATTGATCTTAACATTTTCCAAACCACTACACAACAACCAAACAAGAAAATATTAAGCCCTTACGATTTGCTTAAGGAAATCACCCACTCCCTCTTCCATCCAGCAGCCACCCTTTCTCAAGACACTGAAATGCCTCCCGCACAAAGAAATCCCTACCCAGTTTCACTGCTGTTCCTCATGAACTCCACATCATTGAAATCAGGTGAGATTGCCAGGTGACTCAACAGTGCTCACTAAGGAGGAAACAGACTCACCTCAAAATGTGGGGCTGGAACAGTCCGTTTTTGTCTAATGCTAAGGAAAAGGAGTTTGGAGGGAAATAAAGCACGCAATCTTTGTTGTACGTGTATTGAAAGCTGCTTTCCATGGAACTGGATTCTTTTCCTTCTGCAATTTCAGTGATTAGTTAGCCCGGAATATCAGCTGGGCTAAGATAATTGGTTATGTTATTCCTGGTCTAGAGCAATCATCTCCTGCTGACAGCACTTTTCCTTTTTATTTTCATGTTAACACCATCCAGTGTGTTAATACTGCCAAGCACACAGAATGTGTTTGTTGACAAGTTTCTGAAATCTATCTGAATAAGCCAATAGTAAATCATTTTTAGAGGGCAACTGTTCTCTATGCTCTCTCAATGGCTCCTACTAACGTTACATATTTTTTATTTTATTAAATATCAATATTAAATATAATTAATATAATATAGCAGATAAAACTGGGGGGATTGGTTGATGCTCGTCTGAACATGAGCCAGCAGTGTGCCTGGGTGGCCAAGAAAGCCAAAGGCATCCTGACTTGCATCAGGGACGGTGTTGCCAACAGGAACAGGGCAGTGATTGTCCCCCTCTACTCAGCTCTGGTGAGGCTGCACCTTGAGTACTGTGTCCAGTTTTGGGCCCCTCACTGCAAGAAAGACATTGAGTGGTTTCAAAGAAGGGCAACAAAGGTGATGAAGGGACTGGAGCACAGGCCTTATGAGGAGTGGCTGAAGGAGCTGGGATCATTCAGTCTGGAGAAGAGGAGGCTCAGGGGAGACCTTATTGCTCTCTATAACTACCTGAAGGGAGGTTGTAGTGAGCTGGGGGTTGGCTTCTTCTCTCCTGTAATGGTGATAGGACTAGAGGAATGGCTTCAAGCTGTGCCAGGAAGAATTAGGCTGGACATTAGGAAATGCTACTTTTCTGAAAGAGTGATCAGGCACTGGAATGGGCTGCCCAGGGAAGTGGTGGAGTCACCAACCCTGGAGGTGTTCAAGGAATGTTTGGATGTTGTGCTGAGGGACATGGTTTAGTGAGTACTATTGGTGATGGGTGGATGGTTGGACTGGATGATCTTGAAGGTCTTTTCCAACCTTGGTGATTCTGTGATTCTATGAAAATAACCACGTACATTTCAATACACAATTCTGTAATTTGAATTTCTATAATGTTGTAGTTTTCTATTTTCTTTGCTTGTGTTATGTAATCTCAAACTTCTACTTGGATTTTTTTTTTTCCCCAAAATAAGTCCTGATAGTTTTCCTGTCCTTGAGATAATTAAATTGACTATTTTTTTCCAGTCCAAGTGTTTTCACTGACCTGTACCCTTACTTTCTCAGTTTTTTTCTGTCTGAAATCCCAAACCTGTTATAATTAAATTCTATTTAATTTAGACCAAATCAACACATGATGGCTTGATCCAAAATTACTTCCAACTGTGATAATTCAGTTGTTTTTCACTGACCTCATTCAATTCCTGGCCAGACTAGGTAATCATCTGTGATTAGGTATCACCTACATGATTATAGCTTTCATAAATATTATCTTACAAGAGGCTGTTCTTTGACAGTCCTGCCATCTTAATAAAAATTCTGTTGATGATAAACAATGAAGATAGAAATAAATTCCAACCTTTTTACTAGTTCACTCTTCTACTTTACCAGCAACTCAGTGGTAGTAAACCTTTGGTTTTGTTGCTAACATGTCTGCATATATATTTCACCATAAAAAACAAAATGTTTGTTAAGAAATCTTTCAGGAAAGATTTCTTTAATATACTTCAGCTCTACATTGGTTCCGAATTTGCTTATCTGTGTATTTAAGGGAATTAATCTGAATACTTGTCCTACAGATTTGAGTCTTGTGGTAAAGTGACTTAAAGGTCTAAGAAAATGCAGTCTGGAACTGTGAATGAATCATCAAGTCTAATACTTGATGTTACATCAAATTAGACTTCTTTCTTAACCTCATCACTTATTTTCACAAAGTATATAAAAATGTGATTGATCTTTGGAAGCTCTATCTCTGACATCTCCCAGCAAGAACACCATCTAATAGCATCTGGGAACAAGACAAAAACTAAATCGTTTCCATCTTTACATGATGCTTATTTCCATAGAAGAAACAAAACAAAACAATCTGTATGGGACAGAATATTGTAATATAAACTGCTTTCATGAGGCCCCTTTGGAATCTTGTCTATATTAGAATCCCAGTGAGATGAACAGCTGTACAGCAATTGATCTCTTATCAAAAGTCAGAGGTGAAAAGAAAGCCAAGCATGGAGAATAGCTAATGGGAAATCTGTGTGGTGCTGA